CTCGTCTTCAGTATAAACAACAGGAAACAATCAGATTATTAATCAAAGAAGTTGAAAACTATTGTCTGGGGATCATTATGACAAAACCTGTTTCAACAAGAGGATACAAACAGACATACTTGCAGGAACTTGCCAAAACTGTTAAAGACAGAGTGACAGAGTTTGAATCAGGGAGAACATATACATTTAAGAAAGAGTTTATAGTTGACCTTTCACTGTATGTGTTTGACAGGGCAGCAAGTTGGCTCTTAGACTCCCATAAGATATTCAAGGAGAACAATGATATAGTTACTTATTTGGAAAGCAAAAAAAGAGAATATTACAACATCTTTAGAGCCTTTTTGTTGTTGTGTTTGGAGAAATTATGTGTGAAAATCTACAGTAAAAGTATCTGCTATTGAAGCAGTTTGTAACAAGACTGGGATTGATATTGCTGGAGAGATGAGGTGCAATTTCCCAGCATTCAGTGAGAATAGACTGAACTTAGAGAAACATGTGCTGGCATCTCTGGCAGAGAAAGAAGACTTTAACAGATTAATCTCCTACATCAACAATCCAAGAAGGCAAGTAGAAGCCTTTATTAAAGAAAAAGTTGATAAATACATGTTCACAACACAGCAAGGTAAAGCCCAGTCTATTCTCAGGAAAAATGTAGAAAACTTCAACAAGCTCATCAGTCGGGCTTTGTTTAAGGCAACAGAGAAACTGGAAAAGGAAGAGGGAGAAATAAAAGACTGGTTAGAGGAGTTCTCTACTGTATTAGGTCCAGACTTGACAATGGAACCCATTAATTGTCAAAACTTCAGTGACATAATGGATTTTGACTTTCTGAAAGAAGATATAGAGAAAGGCCTCGAAAACATCACAGTGCCTCTGAATAAAGTGTATGAATGCAGGCAGAAGCCTGAACAAATCCTCATTGATCAGCTGTGTAACTGCTGCTGGGTAACGTGTCCTTTCTGTGCTGCTGTTTGCACCAACACTCTGAAGGATCACAGTCCTGAGAAACACAGTGTTCCTTTTCATCGACCTTCTGGAGTTAAAGGTTGGCATGTTAGAGGAAAAGTCGATCTGTTTGTTGATTTCTGCACCACATTAGTTGCAAGTGACAAAAGATTTTACCCTGAACTTGACTCAGAGCAGACTGTACCTTACAGGTGCTGTTCATAAAATTAGAATATCATGAAAAAGTAGATTGATTTCAGTAATTCCATTTAAAAAGTGAAACTTGTATATTATATTCATACATTACATACAAACTCATATATTTCAGATGTTTATTTTGTTTAATTTTGATGATTACAAATGACAACAAATGAAAATCTCAAATTCATCATATCAGAAAATTAGAATATTACTGAAGACCAATAAAAACAAAGGATTTATAGAAATGTTGGCCAACTGAAAAGTATGAACATGAAAAGTATGAGCATGTACAGCACTCAGTATTTAGTTGGGCCTCCTTTGGCCTGTATTACTGCAGCAATGCGGCGTGGCATGGAGTCGATCAGTCTGTGGCACTGCTCAGGTGTTATGATAGCCCAGGTTGCTCTAATAGTGGCTTTTAGCTCTTCTGAATTGTTGGGTCTGGTGTATTGCATCTTCTTCTTCACAATACCCCATAGATTTTCTATGGGGTTAAGGTCAGGAGAGTTTGCTGGCCAATTAAGAACAGGGATACCATGGTCCTTCAACCAGGTACTGGTAGCTTTGGCACTGTGTGCAGGTGCCAAGTCCTGTTGGAAAATGAAATCTGCATCTCCAAAAAGTTGGTCAGCTGCAGGAAGCATGAAGTGCTCTAAAACTTCCTGGTATGTGGCTGCGTTGACCCTGGACCTCAGAAAACACAATGGACCAACACCAGCAGATGACATGGCACCCCAAACCATCACTGACTGTGGAAACTTTACACTGGACTTCAAGCAACGTGGATGAAGTGCCTCTCTTCTTTTCCTCCAGACTCTGGGACCTTGATTTCCAAAGGAAATGCAAAATTTACTTTCATCAGAGAACATGACTTTGGACCACTCACCAGCAGTCCAGTCCTGTTTCTCTTTAGCCCAGGCAAGACGCTTCTGATGCTGTCTGTGGTTCAAGAGTGGCTTGACACAAGGAATGCGACAGCAGAAACCCATGTCTTTCATACGTCTGTGTGTGGTGGTTCTTGAAGCACTCACTCCAGCTGCAGTCCACTCTTTGTGAATCTCCCCCACATTTTTGAATGGGTTTTGTTTCACAATCCTCTCCAGGGTGCGGTTATCTCTCTTGCTTGTACACTTTTTTCGACCACATCTTTTCCTTCCCTTCGCCTCTCTATTAATGTGCTTGGACACTGAGCTCTGTGAACAGCCAGCCTCTTTAGCGATGACCTTTTGTGTCTTGCCCTCCTTGTGCAAGGTGTCGATGGTCGTCTTTTGGACAACTGTCAAGTCAGCAGTCTTCCCCATGATTGTGTAGCCTATAGAACTAGACTGAAAGACCATTTAAAGGCTTTTGCAGGTGGTTTGAGTTAATTAGCTGATTAGAGTGTGGCACCAGGGGCCATCAATTTTGAACCTTTTCACAATATTCTAATTTTCTGATATGATGAATTTGAGATTTTCATTTGTTGTCATTTGTAATCATCAAAATTAAACAAAATAAACATCTGAAATATATGAGTTTGTATGTAATGTATGAATATAATATACAAGTTTCACTTTTTAAATGGAATTACTGAAATCAATCTACTTTTTCATGATATTCTAATTTTATGACCAGCACCTGTATAAACAGTACCCAACTGCTGGAGAAAAATATTCTTCATGGAGCATCACAGCTGATGCTTCTAAGCTGGCTTACTGGAAATGGTTTGTCTGCCACTTCCAAGAGGAACTGGAAAACCACTATAAATTGAAATTCCAGGGTTGGGGTAAAATTCCTCAGGAATGGAAACATCTCAGTAAAGAGGAAGCCATTGAAAGCTTAAGTGAAATATGTAGTTTGTAAAAAAAATAAAAAAAATAAAAAATAAAAAAATGCAACTGTTTATAAGTAAATGTCATCCCTAAAGTTGGATGCTTCCTAACAGTAGAAAAAAATTTGTTGAAGAATGTGCAGACATAGTGGCTCAGCATTAGATTGTTAGTTTTTTTTTATGTCTGTTTTGATTGAGTTATATTTGAATTACGGATTATTAAAGTTACTTCAATACAAACATCTGTATATCTAACTTCATATTGTAGCTTATTTGTTTTTGTTTTTTGTTGTTGTTCCCTTATTTTAGGTATCTTTCATTAAACCAATGATGGAATTAAAGAAGTCAGCTTTAAAATGTAAAGCATTAGAACTGACATTATATGAGTATGTATGTGTTGCTTTTTTTTGTCTAGATTGAATCAATTCATCATGGCATATTTTTGTGTTTGTGTTAATGTACCGGGATTGGATAAAGGCAATTAAGGGAGTTCAGTAAAAAAATAAAAAAATATTTCTAAAATAGTTGTATAACAAATATCCTCATATAAATTTTTAGCAAATTGTCATTATTTGATAAGCAAATTATTCTTTGCAGCGCTTTCTTCTTTGTTTTCCATTTTATGTTCAAAAATTAGTTGAGTTAAACTGAGTCCACCTTTACCTATTTTTTTCTTTGTTGGCCATATTATGGCATGTGATATCTTTGTTTTACCCAAAATGATTTTTGAATATTAATATGATTTGAAAATGTAATCTTTGTCTTAAATAAAATGCAGCAATAACCTCTTACATCCTGATATACTGTATTTTTGGAATGGACAAAAAGTGTGAACATGTGGGCAAAGGAAGCTTGGAGAATTCTTGAAACTCATTCTAGTTTATTTGTTGTAAAACTGGCAGAAAGCTGCTTCCATTCTCTAGCAGATGACCAGATGAGAAGCAGGACGCAGCAAAATCACCTGCCAATTTACCAACATGAGTCATTTGATTTATGTTGTGGAGAAATAGTTATCCATCTGTATAATAAATAACTATCAAATTAGTCACACAAAGAGATTAAATAAAATTGCATGCAGCAGCTCAGCCATGAACCAGTTAACTTCCCAAGCAGTACATGATTTGAGCAGCTCACAGACATTGTTTGCATACAACAGAAGATTTTGGGATGAGGCCATTTTAAAGAAAGCAAAAACCAAAAAATCTAATGTCAGTGCTTATCTGTTTTTCCCCCTCTATTTTCATTTAGTGGAAAAAATTAGATATTAGATAAAAAGTTTGTTATTCCATATCTCAATTTGTTTCAAAAAAGAAAAACTAGATTAAAAAAAGAATTTAAGACGGCCATTGCTGTTTTTTTTCTTATCCCTCTTTAATTACTAGTTATTGGTCCCGAATACTGTCAGCTCCCATCTTTTAGTAATTACTTTTTTTTCAACAAAGTTTTATTGAATACTTGTAGTGGGAGCTGACACATTCATCATAACTTCAGTAAAAAAGTGCTCTGCTGTATGACTGCTTCATTCTTCTTTTCATCGTCATTCTCATGTCCTGAACTGATTAGACTAAAGCCTGATAGCTGTCAGATTTAATTAGTAGTATGAAAGACGATAATGGAAAAACCCGATTTCAGAAAAAATGAACTGAATATTATAACCTACTGTCTGAACATAGCTTTAGTATATTTTTTCTTCTACTGGTATTTTTCTTTTCCCCCTAAAGAAAAAACTATTAACCTAAATGATGCTACCCATCAAGTCTTTCATTTCTGGCACATATTAAATTTCTCATTAGAGAACAAACACACAAACAAAGCTTTTAAACCACATGAGTGAAAGGTTTTTGATGTGCTTTTGGAGAAGAAACTTAAAGTCCATGTTTCAGTGCCAGATTCTTCCTCCCTATCCTGGAAAACTCATCGGTTAAATGTTGCTGCTCTCTCAGGTGCACTGTTTGAGTTGTTATTTTGTATGTTTGTTTTTTTAGAAAAGGATTATTGAACATAAAATATAAAAATGCATTTTCCAATTTATGAGCTACTAACAGTGTGTATCTAACAGCATTGGTTTATTTGATTCTGGTATTTAGATCTTCATGCATTTATGTTACAAGCTTCAGCAGATCTTAAAGCTTGTGAGTTTGAAATCCCCTGCAACTCGGATGTAGGTGATGACATCCATGTCTGCACGATTAGGAAACTGCATCTCTTGTCCATCAGGGAGCTCCACCTCAAACACATCTTCAGAGAGTTTCAACACAATCTGAAAGAGAAAGCATTTTATTTTAGTAAACAATTTTCCTTTACGAAAATTGGAAACAGTTAGGAATCTAATCTTTAAAGAAATATGAGCCAGGTTGAAGAATAGCACATAGATCTCTGGATAATAATCTCTTCTGTAATACAAACATTTCCTCACCTTCACTTCACTGCCTCTCAGCAGAGGGTTGTGAATTTCCCTCTTTTCATCGCCCCAGCAACCCGCTGTCTTTGAGTTGCACACTAAGACGGCTCCATCAGCATCATCATGGAAACGAGGGTTAAAGTGCAGCGCCAGGTCCTCTGAGTCCAAACCAAGGTCAATCTGGAACCTGTTTGGATCATTAATCCACTTTTTTTTAGCAAGACTTTCTGAACAGAGTAATACTTGTTTATCGATAACTGTGATTAAAAATATGTAAGAAACCAAATGTATAAAGCTTCCATCAGCTGTGCATTTTCATAATCATGGATGATGAAGAATAAAGTAATATCCAGGCTTATAGTAATTATTAAATATGAAGTGTTTGTATTACCTCTCAGCGTCATGCAAAATTTCCCCTTTTACTTTCAACTTGTCTCCAGGTCTCAAGTTCACATTCTTCAGTTCAAGTTCCTGAGAAAAAAAGGTTTGTGGTTGCACATATCGATTACAGAGACATCCCAATAAATTGGAATAAATTGTAAAGACAGAATATTTTAGTAATTCAAACGTAATTATCTAACTCACATAAATTACATTTTCTGTAAAATCCTTGAAGTTTTTTTCTGTGAATTCTGGTTTACAGAACCAGAGCAAAGCTTACAGTAAAGGAAATGTTTTATTATTAGAGTTTTTTTTAGATGAATAAGAAAGATAAAAACTATTTTAATGCAGACATGTTATGACCTACAATATTATGATAAATACTGCTTCCTGGAAAGTTGTTTACCAAACAGTCATTCAAGGTTTTTGCAAAAAGTTCAAGCCTCAATATTTCAATGCTAGATTAGCAAGTATTTTAATGGCAGATTGAGTGGAAGGAAAAGAAATGTCAAAAGGTGGACGAGCACTGGATCGGCTGCAGAAGAGTTCTTTGAGAGTTCATGGACTCCTGCTGAAGTCACTGTTTAGAGAGCCAGCACACAGTCCCTAGAGGTCAGATGTAAAGTGTCTACAGTCAGTTATGATTGCGCAAAAAGTGTATAGTTTACTGTTCTGGGTAAACTGGGTTTGCTAGTACAGAGCCAACACAGGCGTCTTCCAGGAAATGTTCAGGCACCTAATTTTTATTACTGCTCTAAACTGTGTAGAGAGGCTGATTTAAATTTATATCTGCTAGCCCTGCAAAATATACTAATACATGCTTTAAAGATTATCACTATACTTAATTTACTGAGCATCTGACTTGTCTGCAGCCTATGGATAATCCATTGGGTTATCATAAGAAGATCATGACATTTAATTCCAGCACTGGAACTAACTTGAAAGATGCTATAAATGCAAACTGGGCTTCTAGAACACCTCAGCAGAAACAAAGGCTGTTCATTCTGATATATTATTGCATATATGCAGTAATTCATATAAAATAAGTCCAGGGCAGCTGAAAAATAAATCAATTTCATTGTCCATTTGATATTGTAAATAATGCAATGAGACACAGAGGAAAAGATTCACCTTACCATACTGAAACCAAGTCCTGCTAAATAGTTGAGATAGGAGCAAGAAGATGGTCCTTATATCAAGTCTGTCTCCTGTGTGGTAGAAAGAAGTTAAACGGTTTAAATTTGAATGTTATTTGTGTGTGTGTAGCTCAAGCAAAATAGCATGTAACAGAAAGCCCTTCGCAATATAATTAAATCAGTATCATGATTGTCTCTGGTATGATAGTCACATGATCTGTTTAAATGCTGACTAGCCATGTTAATCATTGCTGATTAATCAGATTTGTAGATAAGGTCAGAAGAAAATTCATCAAGAATTAGGCATTGAATAACTGGAGCTGTTTGTAGAAGGGGGATACATCTTCAAGACAATCAAGTAAAATAAAAGAAATTAAACTGTGCTACAGGTATTGTTTTCAGTTTGTTGTCCACACAAGCCCTGAATTTGATTTATTATTTATTTATTGCCAAATAGGTTTGCACTTACAAGGAATTTGACTTGGTGTTGATGGTGCAGACAAATTATATATATATACAGAATACAGAATCTATAGCTATATACATTATAAAACCTACAATACACTATATATAATATATAGTAAATAGCTATATACTATATAGAGTAAACTGTGGTTTAATGTAACGCAGGATGTCTGGATAGCTTCTAGGTCCTGAACAGGGGAGGGAGACAGGGTGTCACTGGGGTCCCTGAGCCTTGAAGAAACTGTTTTTGTGGCATGAGGTTTTAGTCCTGATGGACCGCAGCTTCCTACCAGAGGGAAGTGACTGAAATAGTTTGTGGCTAGGGTGTGAGGGATCAGCAACAATCTTCCCTGCATGCCTCAGAGTCCTGGAGGCGTACAGATGCTGGAGTGATGGAAGATTGCAGCCAATCGCTTTCTCTGCAGACCGAATGACACGCAGCAGTCTGACCTTGTCCTTGGAAGTGGCACTAGCGTACCAGATGGTGATGAGGAGGTTAGGATGGAGTCAATGTTTGAGGAGTAGAACTGCACCCTCATTGTCCTTGAAAGGTTATTTTTTTCAGCTGCTGCAGGAATTTAATCCTCTGCTGGGTTTTCTCTGTGAGGGAGTTGATATTCAGCTCCCACTTTAGGTTCTGTGAGATGATATTTCCTAGGAAGCAGAAAGACTCCACAGTGTCAATTGTGGAGTCACACAGGGTGATGGGGATAGCTGGGGCTGAGTTCTTCCTAAAGTCCACAACCATCTCCATTGTATTTAGAGCTTTGAGTCCCAGGTTGTTCTCCCTTCACCAGGTCGCCAGATGGTCAACCTCCCACTTGTAGGTGGACGTGTCATCTGTGAACTTCAGAAGATTGACAGACTTATGAATGGAGGTGCAGCTGCTCCACAGGGAGAAGAGCAGCGGAGAAAAAACACAGCCCTTCGGGAACCGGTGCTGATGAGCTGTTAGTCAGAAACATGTTTTTCCAGCTTCACGTGCTGCTTCCTGTCAGGCAGGAAGAGCTGGGATGATTGTATTGAAGGCAGAGCTAAAATCCACAAACAGGATCCTGGTGTAGGTACTCGCGGATTCCAGGTGCTGGAGGATGAAGTGAAGGGCCAAGTCGACAGTGTCGTCTGCAGAACTCTGGCTCTGTAAGTAAGCTGTAGGGGGTCCAGGAGGGGGTCAGTGATTTCTTTCAGGTGTGAAAGCACAATGTGCTCAAAGGACTTCATAACCACAGAGATCAGGGCGACAGGTATAAAGTCATTAAGTCCTGTGGACATTTCTTATATAAAATATAACAAATATAAAATAAAAGAAATGTAGTAGTAGTTTAATGTTTCTTTCATAGTTACATAATAAATAAAATATTTTTGTGTCTTTATGAATCAGTAGTAACTATGTCAGAGTTCACCTTTTTAAGCACTACAGTGTCCTGTTACAGGTGGGGGAAATTACAGAACAAATGCCTTATTTCAATTTCAGAAAGTTTTTTTATTAATTTAATTTATATTCAGAACCTCACCTCAGAATGTCCACTAGAATAAGATATAATGAACCTTTATGTCTTGTGAAAACTTTGCAATCAGAGAAGTCTTCATAATGATCTTAAACACAGAGCCATTCTAGAGGTTACATCTAAAATATGCTATTTAGACAATCACTCGCATTGATAAGCTGAAAGGATTTTGTGCCAAAAACAAAGTAAATAATTTAACTAAGTTTAAGAGCTAATATTCACTGACTTTACTTATTTATGAATTTTTGGATGGATGATGTAAAAAAAGATTTGTGTTTTGCCATTATTTTCCTCTTTAGCTTTCCTCTTTTTACATGATTGCAGTTATTCTATTATAAATAATATTTCACCGTCTCTTTATGATGTATTTTGCTCTTTATTACCGTTTTAAGTAAAGCAAATAAAGACCTATATCCTTATCTTGGTCTAAAAAGCTGTAATTTTACTTTTTGGCCGCTAGAGGTCAGCCTTTCCCCGGTAACCCAGCTTCCGCTACGTCAATGGAAGTGACATAATTATGTAAACAGGAGCTGTCACTACATTCTATGTTAGATTTAGTGTTAATATTAATTCTAATAAACGGCACCGTTCGGAAGAATATTGGACTTAATGCGGAACCAGCCACATTAGGAAGCTGCTTTAAACCAGTTAAGGTATTTTGATACAATCTTTATAGCTGATAGCATCTCCAGTGCACCTGCTGATGCTAAACCAGCTAGCAGCTAGTGAAGCAGGGTTAGCATGTCAGTTTTCTGTCTTAACATCAGTTATTAATGGAATATTTCCCGTATTTCCTTTGTTAAACATTAAGTTAAGCTTTTGCTTTTTAACTCTTGAGCCTAGACAGGTTTAATTTTCTGGTAAAGCATGAAGGGGAACTTAGCAGCTGTTCCTTTAGCTGTAGCCTTTCTTTTTCTGTAATCATTTCGTTAAAACATCGGTTTGTATCATCTGCAATTAGTGCTGGTGGTTTATACTAAAACGGGCTTTAAGGAAGTTGTTTGCTGTCCATTTTTTTGTTTGTTTGTTTTAATTGTAAATCAGTTAAAAATCATAAAACAGAGGAGGTTGCTTCTATTTTTACAGGGACTTTTGTTTTCTTGAGACAAGCTGTGAGTTTCCTGCGATGTTTACAGACATGGACTATGAGCTGGAAGAGGACAAACTGTAAGTTTGATTTGTTTAAATACTTTACAATCAAACCTTGCAAAAATGTCCACCTTCTTCTAGGTGTCCCGTTGCATTTTACTGTGATTTTATGTGATAAAAACATACAAAGAAAAGCATCATTTTGAAGTAAAAGTTAAATATGTGTAAATGGTTTTCAACATTTGACGGTATTCCTCTTAACTTTGAAGCCATTAATACATTATAGTCAAACCAAATGCCTTCTGAAGGTGACTGGTTGAGATAGTCAACATTTGTTTCATTTAAAAGCTTTAAAAGCCTCAGTGGTTTGTCACAGTATTTACCTGAAGACGATGGGACTCAGCGGACGGGTCATGGATAAAGCTGCTGTTAATTTTTTGTATGGTTTGGTTTAAAAACAACATCCCAAACATTAGACATTTCCTAAAGCACTGTAACTAAATTGAAAATAAAAATGGAACAAATGTAAGCCAAGTGTTCTAATAAACAGTCAATCTAAACTGGCAGGCTGAGAGAATATCAATTATGGGAGATTGTTAATGGTAACTCTGGAGGAGCTGCTGAGATCCACAACTTGTGTGGGGGAATGTGTCAGCTCAACAGCTGATAACTATGGTATCTATAAATCTGGCCTGTATGGAAGACTTAATATAAAGTAATATCTAATGGTCAAAAGAGACCATGTTGAAAGTTATACTACTTATACTACATGCAAAATGTTAAATATGGTGTAAAGGTTCATTCTTAGTGTAAAACACAGTGGTGGCAGCATCATTCTCTCCAGGGATGTGAAGCATGACAGAGTTATTAGAAAGATTAAATGAGTTTATTGCAGCGCTATCTTAAAGGAACAGCTGCAGCTTAGAGCTGAGGTTTAGCTTTGAGCAGGACAAGGCCCTGACATACAGTATGTCTAAACACAACGTATGCGGACGAGTTTTATTGGCCCAAAGATTAGATAACAATGTAACTGGGACAATGTATTCATACTTCAAAATTAATGTTACCAGAAATTCTCCAGTTAATCTCAGGAAAGCTAAATACAAACAGGTTATTACGCTTTTCAGGTTTTAACGCTTCGTTTTTTATTTAAAAAGGGTATTTTATTTTCTTCTTCACTATTGTCTAATACTTTGTTTTAGTTTAACGCATTAATCACATTCAGGTGTTTTGAAGCTTGTGGTTGTAATATGACCAATGTAAAAAATATTCAAGGACTGAATAATTTTGTAAGGTCCTGTGGATGAAAGGGAATTTTCCAATATTACATTAGAGCTACAGGTGTCCTTCATCTTTTAAAAAACTTTTCTCCTCTAAACATTTCATTGAAATAGCTGAAAGATTATATTAACCTGCTAACATGTCCTGCTAGAGACACATTTATTTAGATTTGATTATATTGAGTAGGTAAATGGCTAAAACATAAAGGACACAGGCCCGGGGGGAGGGGAATTACTCTCCCGTGTTACATAACTTAAACTGTAATAATTAAAACATATTTCTAGTTTTGTGGACCTGCCAACTTGTCATCTATCTATCAAAATAAATTTTGTTATATTCACTATTAACTAAAAACAGTAACTTTGTTTCTGCAAATGCATCAAGTAACTGGATGCTTGGGAGTTTGGAGTTTTAGTCAAAATGGATGTTTTAGGAAATCTGATCTCTACACTTGATGCTGGATTTAAGCGTTACATTTTTCCTGGACCATGTGATTCTTTTTCCTTTAATTCAAACAAGGTTCACCAATGTGAGTTTTATATTATTGTAATATGTAGGTCAGAACTCATAGGGGACAGGAAATCGTTTTCAGCTCCAAAATATTAATTTGTGCTATAAAAATATTTCCTGAAATGAACACCCTTTATGTTTGATAACAACTAGAACAAATACTGATTGTTATTCATCTTTCCCCTACAGGGGGATACCCACCGTACCCGGTACTGTGACTCTGAAGAAGGATGCCAACAACCTCATCGGCATCAGCATCGGAGGCGGAGCTCAGTACTGTCCTTGTCTCTATATTGTTCAGGTTGGTGGATAAAGCTTATCTCTATGTTACACATGCATCTTAGTTTACTAAACAAACATACTGTGCTTATATGTTTACTAACAGATGTGTTAGGTATGTATGTAGTCCATCTGAGTCTCAGGTATAATATTTCCTGCTAGAACAACTAAAAATACCATCATGTTAAAGTATCCTTTGGCATTTTTCTATTCTTTTGTTTTCTTTTTTGTCCTACTTAAATGTTTCTGACCATCAAATGATTTATTATATTAAAGATAACCTGAGTAGATATGATAAGAAAGTTTAAAGTAAAGATTTAAAAGCTTTTTTAAATTAACCTGATACAATGTGATGACCCTATAACTGTCATCAGTAATGGCTATTGTCTTTAAGATGGATTTGGAGGGATTTCTTTGCCAGTCATGCTTTATTTTTTCACCCACAGTTTTATTGCTTATTTAAGGCTATTTTCTTGCATCTTTTTTAGATCTTTTTCAAAACTTGGTCTTGGCTGCTTCATTACCTAATTTTATATTAAGCCATTCAGAGCATCTACAGCCAGTCACTATACAGTAGATAGCTATGTTTGCCTGTTGGTAGAATTATTATGCTGAAATTCTCTTGGTGTTGTATTCGATGTAATGCAGTGAAGCTCTTCCAAAACATTGCACCTTTTTCTTGTCAGTCCACGAAGTATTTCCTAATATGTTTTTGGAGTCATTGTTTTTCAGTTTTTTTTTTTTTTTTTTTTTTTTTTTTTTTTTTTTTGGGTAAATAGGAAATGTTTGTATTTTTCCTCAGTAGTGGTTTAGGAACTCTTGCATGGATTGCCTAAGCAACATCTTCCTTACTGTTCATCAGGAGCACCAACGTTATTTAATTTAGCCTTAGAAGTGGCTTTGTAAACCTTTCCAGATTGATCGATGTCAGAGATTTTTGATTCTTATTTGTTCTTGAGCCTTTCTCTGTGGGGCATAAGGGTTTGTTTTTTTGTTTTTTTGACATTGTTCATGCTGCCTTATGTTCTTAGATCGACTCTGTTGGTTTTCATCTTTATATATCAGGCCTTGTAGTGAAATCAAACTAAGCTTCACAAACGATGTCTTCAATGACCACCTGATAACCTTTTTTCCACAAAAAAGTTTACAAAAAAAATCAAATAAAAGGTTATGCATTTCCTTTGTTCATGTTAGTCTGACATGAATGTTTGTTTGATCATAAAACTTTTATGCATTTGGAACCGGTTAAGTGAAACTTTCTTTGAATGTTACGTTTTAAAATGGTTTCCTTTGTCTTCCAGGTGTTTGATAACACTCCAGCAGCTCTGGACGGGACGCTGGCAGCAGGTGATGAAATCACAGGCGTGAACGGGAAAACGGTTAAAGGAAAGACAAAGGTGGAAGTAGCCAAGATGATTCAAGCTGTCCAGGTAATCAGCTTCTTGATAAATAAGGAAAACTTCTGGAGAGCAATGATCATTATAACAGCAGTTTGTGTTGTTTTCATGCACACAAAATAGTCTTAAAGTAATTTAATAGCTGGATTTTCTAGTTGTATTAAACCATTTCAGGGAAATAAAAATATTAAACAAAATGTTTATGAGTTCACTTTAAAAAAGATATTCAGTCATCTAATATTAAGCAATTGCAGAAATTCAAAATTAAAAGTAGATGGCCTTTATGAGACTGAGCTGTTTGTAATCCAGAGAAATGTGGATTTGCTCACAGAGAGATAACAATACAGGACTTAAAACAAGTTTCCAACTGATAAGGAAAATAAATCAGAATATTCAAAACCAATTTTGTTGGATATAGTTAATTCAAAATAAAATATTATAAAGATGAGTGCAGGAATAAAACCTGTAATCTTCCAAAGTCTCTGTCAAAGTGGGCTGATGTTATAGGAGGAGGTCCAGAGAAAATTACAATAAACTTATAAATTAACACTAAAGTTTTGATCATTTTATTTTTCAATGCATTAAAAAAAAGTTGAGCTTGGAGATTATTTTATTTATTTTTTTCAGGATGATATTTCTCCTTAGGTTTAGTGTTTTTTTCTTAAGGAAATGTGAAACAAAACAAATTGCCAAAGATTTTTCTCTAGCTGAGCAATTACTGCAATCTGCAAAGCTGAGGTTGATATTTGAAACAGAAATATCAACATAAAGATCTAACAAATTTATTTTTTAGCTGTGGAAAAAATGCATCAAATAAAAGGAAATCAGATTGGATTAATTACATTTCTTTTAGAGGATAAATTTTACTTAGATTTTCTCAATGACACCCACATGGCATTCCTGATTTACCTGAGGCATAACTGAGAGCTTATTTAGTTAAATCATCGTTTTTTTTGTAACATAAATGCCCCTTTTTCCCTGGGCAGATTATTAAGCTACTCAGGATGAACATTTTAAAAATCCTTAGGTTTAAAATGTCACAAGAATTTAACATTAAAACAACTAAACTATAGAAATTTTTCTCAGATTCAACCTCTTATACCATAAATGTAGGATATAGATTCTAAATAGCTGTATATGTAAGCCAGGCACAAATAATAAAGCAATAAGTGAACTTACTTTTCTGTCCTGATTGATTTAAAGAATAAAAATTCCTGCAGAGATCCAGAGTCCAGCTTTCGATAGAAAAGAAGAGAAGATGTTTAACTGCTGGTTCAGCTCTTTGAAAGAGATGAGGGAGATAGAAAGCATGCGGCAGAGCGTCACCAATGCAGAGCAGCCGTGTTTGTTTTGGACACCTTTTGTTCACAATGAAACAATCCCTGACTTCCTGTGTGCAGGGATAAAGACAGGGTGCATTGTGGGAATTAAAGGATTAGACTGTGCTTCCGTTACCTTTTCAGGGCCCATGACGAACTTTAATGTTGCCATTTTCTCCCCGTTTTTAATTTTTCTGCGATGCTAAAATAAACATTTTACATAAGTTAAAGATTTACATCTGATTTAAACATTTACTCTTTATTTCTGCTTGCTGATAAATCTGTTTGTGTTCACAGGGAGAGGCAGTAATCCACTACAACAAACTGCAGGCTGACCCAAAACAAGGGAAATCTTTAGATATCGGTAGGTTCTTCATTCCACTACTTTTTTTCTGAAGGTTTTTGGATAAAATGCTGTTCTTTGACTCTTTATTTTTAATGTTTTAGTGTTAAAAAAGGTCAAACATCGCCTTGTGGAGAACATGAGCTCAGGTACCGCCGATGCTCTTGGACTTAGCAGAGCTATTCTATGCAACGGTAAAATCTGTTTTTATTCTTACTGTATTTTGACTATTGTCTAATTACCGTGGAAGGATCCTCATATTAATTCATGTTTTCTCTGTAGATGGCCTGGTTAAAAGACTGGAAGAGTTGGAGAAAACAGCAGAGCTTTACAAAGGTAGGGAGAATAAATGGAAACAGAAACGGTTCCTGTAAAGGAAAAGGTTAAACTAACACTGACAGTGATCAGTACGGTTCAACACCAAATTCTAGGTTCCTGTCATCTTTTTTTTTTATATAGAAAAACTTTCAAAGACACAAACTATTAATATGAGGTCTAAGCTCTGCATAGAAATATATGAATATTTTTCTTATTCAAGCAAAAAGAAAAACTCATACTAAATTTACACAAAGGTTTCTTCTTTAGGAACACCTGTTCAAATGCCCGTTACTACTAGTTCTCTACATTGATCCATCTAAATGTATTGAAATTGACCTGCTGTGACTCAGACTGAGCAATGAAATGATGAAGATTGGGAATTTAAGTGAATTTGATCATAACACGGCTGTTGATGCCCAACAGTCTAGTCCGGGTGTTTACAAACAGGAAGTCTGCTGGGCCTTTACACTCAGCCCACTCTTGGATCAACAGAGAAAAGGTAGACTTATAGGGATGCAGCATTAGTTCAGTAAACAGTCATTATCTAAATGTGTGCAGAAAACCATCTTATTAAAGTACAACACCTGGAAGCAGGTGAACTACAGCAGCAGACGATCATTCCAGCTACTTCTATCAGCTGATTACAGAAAATTGAGGCTTTATTTCACTCATATTGACCAAAACTAAATCTTGGGATATGGTGGAACCAGCTATTTGGATAATAGTGACAAAGCTGACTAATCTACAGTTAACATGTAATGCTGTCTGGTAGGGCTGGGCGATAATTCAATAACGATGTATATCGATCGATCGATAGACGTGTGGCGCAATAGAAAAAAAGAGGGTCGATAAAAGTTCGATAAAAAAACGCAGTTTTCCTTCCTTCTCATTGTAGCCTAGCATGTAGGTTTATGCTAGTCACTAGTTCCTCACAACCAATCACAATCGCGGACCCAGGCACGCCGTCACAAAGCGCCGCCCTCTCAAACCACAACACAGAGCACATGAAGATGTCGCAGCAAGGAGAGGCGGAGGAAATTGTTCCAAAGAAAGGTTTTTGTAGTTCGCCAGTTAGGCAGTATTTCGGTCATGGCAAGTCGGACAAAAAACAAACCACAGTCATCTGTAAAATGTGTAGGGAACCAGTGAAAACCAAGTCTGATAAGACAACCAACTTTTTTTTTTCATCTGAGCCGCTCACAGCCGCAGGAGTACAAGCTGTTTAGGCCCCGGCGAGGCTCTCCTCCGAGAAATCTTCGGGAATTTCGGGAAAATATATATATTAAGTTCTGGGCAGTTTCCCACGTAGTTCTAACAATTGAGAGAAAAATGCTGAGGGGCCAGCAACTTCAAAGTAATAACTCAGGTTAAAGCAGGAATGCGGGTGGCGTCCGGGGGGGTGGGTTTCTCCATTTATTTATTTTTGTTATATTTATTTTGGTCACTTTTCTGATCACTTTAGTTTATTCTTTGTCAGTATTTAATAACATAAGTCAGGTCTCTTAAGTTATTTTTCTTTAAAACAATTCTGTTATGGTTAAAAAAGTTGATTAAATAAAGATTTAATTAGAAGTCTGAGTTTGTGTTCTTTATTAAAATTAAATCATTTAGCAATATCATAAATGTCCAGGCAGAGCTGCACATAAAATATGGTTTCAAATTTTTTCAATAATTATCGACATCGATCAATATGCATTTTTTTTTATCGATAAGCTTTTTTTCTATATCGCCCAGCCCTACTGTCTGGTTAATATGGGCCAAAATCCTCCACAACAGGATGAACTAAGGCTGTTTTAAAGCAAAATAAGTGCTTGTGCCTGATGAGATTAAATGAGGTCATGGCTTTCCATATGTCCACCCATCAGTTGTTACTGCAGCTGGAAGGACGCCAGTTAGATTTAGGCTCCTGCGGACCATTATCTCCACTTTCTCCTGCATTACTATTTTTATAGACAATGTTACAAGTTTCCTAATCTTGTCATTTTCTGTTGTAGCTTTAAACATGATGCAATAATAAAACATGTCCTCCCCTAATTGATTCTAACTTTATGCACCTGTGAGTGCTGTTTGTATCATAATGATTCAGGGTGAATACATGATTTTTAAACGCTGTATAAAGGTAACAAGGTCATTTTAAATCAAAGCAAAAAGTAAATTAATGCCTGTTTGTTTGGAGCAGGATCTCATTGTGGTGTTTCTGTGCTTTCAGGACTGATGGAGCACACCAAGAGGCTACTCAGAGCGTTCTTTGAGCTTTCTCAAACTCACAGAGGTGTGTTGCTGTATAAACAAATGGTTCAGTGGTGTAATAAAGGCAAAATGCTTAAAGAAACTAGGCGAATAAATTGTGAAAGATACACATGCACATCCAGTTTTTTTATCCTAATGGGTGATGAAGCGTTAAAAATCAAAACAGAGTCAACCCACCTATTGCCTTCAATAGGCTGTGGGCTGCATAAAACACTGCAATTCGAGGGATATGTTTCCTACACAGTCCTATGCATGTGAAGTCAGTTGATGCTGCATGTGTGCCCCCAACAACTTTGATACAGGAAGTTTGGGTCCTTTGAGTAATAGAGTTAAAAAAAAAAGAGGTTGTTTAAAAGAGGCCTAATCTTGAACCGGCCCCTAATCACTGTTTGCGTGTTCCTGTGGAGGCTCCGCCATATTAAGGGCCATCCAAAATCAGGGTGAGTGGACCGTTCAGCCCTTAAATAGTGAGTCTACATCAGTGCAGACACGCTGGAAGGTGGGTGTAACGGGTGTGAACTAATAATGGACGAAACACCTGAATTCAAACAAATTTTCCACGAGTTTGCTGATACATGGTTTGCTTACATTTCTATTAGTTTCTCATTATGGGTTATGTGTATTAGAATGACAATATTTGTTTAAAACAACAACTCATACCTGTCCCCTACACACACATACAGTTGCAAGATGTAGAAGCTTAATATAAAGCAAGTAACGTACGATTAGGAGGAGCCTGCGGCCGTCCCATATATGGCACATCTGCAACAGTGATCCTGCACCACAGATAAAATAAAAGTTAATTTATCAGCTGACTTTAATACAAAACTACACAAATGCTCTGTTTTTAAATAATTCTATTTGATTGCCATCATACATTTTGGATATGTTGTGCTGTGACCTTTTCAGGGTTTGGAGACGTATTCTCCATCATTGGTGTTAGAGAGCCGCAGGCTGCAGCCAGCGAGGCTTTCGTAAAGTTTGCCGATGCTCACAGAAACATAGAGAAATATGGAATTCAGCTTCTGAAAACCATCAAGCCTGTAAGTCCAAAAGTTGTTTTCTACCTTCAATAGCTCTGTTGACACGAAGAAGGCTAATTATTTTTGTTTTTATATTACTAATGCTCCTTTTGTTTCCTAATTGAATATAGGAGCATTCAAACATTTGTTGTAAACAAGTATCTTATTTCTCCTATAAACCCTGTTACTGACCTATTACTGCATGTCTTAACTTTCAGATGCTTCATGATCTGAACACCTACCTCCACAAGGCCATACCAGACACCAAGCTCACCATCAGAAAGTACCTGGATGTGAAGTTTGAATATCTGGTGAGGAAAGAGGAGCGTTTTTTTTCCTGCTTTTATGAACAACAGAAGTCGCTACAATCTGAGGTCAGACAGATATTATTGATGTATAATCCTATAAATCCTTTTTCAGTCATACTGCCTGAAGGTGAAGGAAATGGATGATGAAGAATACAGCAGTATTGTGAGTACTGGTTTCTATTTGGTAGCTTGTCTGTGGTTATCTCATTCAAGTAGCCTGGGATTTTCAATATTACATTTTATATTCTATATTTTCTAAAATATCTGATTAATTAAGGCTGTTTCGGGCTGACCCTGAGTTTATCGGTTATGGATTGATTTTTTTTTATGAGTTTTATTTTATGATACTATTTCCAACATTTCACCAATTGTACAAAACACAGTCTTTGTAAATAACCCCTTCCCTCCAAAAGTGTACAAAAAAATGAACTGTTGTGGCTATTGTTTGGTAAAAGTATTGTTTCTTCAATGCATTATTAAGGTTTTTTCTTTTCTTTCATTTTTTAAATACCTTTTAGACGTAACTTGAATACCAGCCAAGATGTCATAAATAAATAAATAAATCGATTTTTTAATAATAATTTTGTTTTTAAAGGGAATGAAATCATCCAACTCGTCCCTGTTTTAAAATGAATACATGATTTACAGTTTCCCAGTTTCCCTGTCATTATATAAACAGAGGAAAGAACCCATCTTAACTATATGAAGAACAGACTAAATATGTATTTGACATCTGTAAAAAAGAAAATTAAATCAAAATAAATAAATATGCAGCTGAACAATGAATGTAGGCATATTAACCTGATGAAAATAAATAGATTATGTTGTGGTCTAGTCACAGTCTGGACAAAAAATTCATAGAGTTGCTGTACAATGGTACTAAATGGGTTAATTCAATTCAATTTATTCATATAGCACAATTTCACAACAGGTGTTATCTTAAGGCATCTTTACAGAGACAATTCAATCAGATCATACAGTCAGGTTGGTTCAATGTTTTATATAGAAGGAAACTGTCGGATTCATTGACTCATTGACTTGCAGGAAATGTGGCGACAGTAGATCTTCGTTTGAATTTTCTCGGCTATCAAAACCAGGCTCAGAGTGAATGTCCTGCTGAGGCCGACTGGTTCAAGAGAGAGAAGCAGACATACAAAAGAAACATAGAAGCACTCATTCATAAATACTTTCTATACTTTCTAAGTTGGCTACTAAATGGTTACTACTTAGGTTACTAATTCTGAAACACAGTTCATACGAGGAAGGTAGATAATTTTTGCTTGTGACTTCAAACACTTAGTGAAAGTTGTTTCACAACTAATTTCATAATCACCTAATTGAAGCTGGCTAGTTTTTTCTCTTTACAAATTAACAATTACATTTTTTTTTGTCTGAGATGGGAATTTGTTTGATTTGCAGAATTTTACTATAAAAAAAAGATAAATCTGTGAGGAGTGAAACATTTTTGACAGCACTGTAAAATGATCAATGTGAACATCTTTCACAGGCCATGGGAGAACCTCTGTATCGTGTGAGCACCGGGAACTACGAGTACCGTTTGGTGCTGCGGTGCAGGCAGGAAGCTCGGGCCCGCTTTGCTAAGATGAGGAAGGACGTTTTGGAGAAGATCGAGTTGTTGGACCAGAAACATGGTTTGTTCTTCAGCTGTTTTATATAAGTCATTTATTTCATTGCTAACAGGTAAATTGGAAACACTGTTGTTTTGGTGAATCAGGATCATCAGGAATAATTCTTCTTGCTTCTCTTTAATAAGAATATTAACTGAAGTGCTTGAATCACATCTACTCCACCATTGTAAAACAGATTTGACTTCTATCCATCTCTGCAGTTCAGGACATTGTGTTCCAGCTGCAGCGCTTTGTCTCCGGTATGTCTCATTACTATGACGACTGCTACGCCGTGCTGAAGGAGGCCGATGTGTTCCCCATCGAAGTAGACCTGTCTCGCACCATGATCAACTACAGCAGCCAGTCGCTCTCCTACACAGACGAAGACGAGGAGGACGGAGGAGGCGGAGAGGAGGGAGGGAGCACACAGGCGGAAAACGGCACGGAGAAGCTGATCGATGATGAATAAGCGCGTCATTCATCAACACATGCATTTAACACGAGCACTCTGTTTTATGCAGTGGAATACTGCAGCTGGAACATTGGTGCTGTTCAAATGAATCTGAATATTACTTTGTGCTGATTTTACTGTATTTTATTATATTGATATTTGACTCAGCCATCTATTTAAACCCATTTCTTGCATTTTACTATTTCTTTACTCACGAACACAGCTTCACAAAGGGGTGGAGTTACTTGAATACATTTGATGGTGATGTGTAACTACTTCTGAATGCGGTCTTTAAGCTTAAGGTGTGCCTTTTTGTACTCTTTCTTTGAATCTTATTATTTCTGGTTGTAATTATATATGAAATTAAATGTACTTTTATTTTCTTTAAGAACACTTTTCAATAGCTAATTATCTAGATACCATATCTTTTTCTTACCAAAAATGTATCTGCTTACAAATCCCATACTTTACACTTGTCAATGTCACAACAAAATATACACGCCCCTAAAACATGAACAGGGTTGTTATGTGATGCTGTTACATATAGATTATTTTTGTTTGTTTTCTCATCTTTTTTTAAATGCATTTATTTGCCACTAATTGCACATGCAGAATTCGTTACTCCTTTTTTTCTGCAGATATAAAGCCAGGTTCATCCTAAAAATATTGCACCAACGTTAAATGTTGTTTTTGCATTGCAGATATTGCTATGCTTTTACATTCCATGAAGTCACACTCAACAGCACAGAGCTTTAATATGCTGTTAGCACTACTGAAAGCAGGTGTAAACCTGGGCAAGTTCAGTAATCCTCTATATCCTGTTACCAACAATTTATTTATTGTGCATTTCTTCTGAAATAATTTTTATTTGATTGTAAAAACTGATTTCTGTTGCTTTAATAATGTTATACTGTAAGTGACCACTGGAGGGCAGCCGTTTTGACTTCACCAATGTGGTAAAAACAAGCTTTTGAAGTGAAATGAATCAGTTTCTTTCTTGTTTGGGGTTATGCTGTTTAAGAAGGAAAATTTAAAATCTTCATCTCCTAACAATAACTGCAACATACACTAATCTCAAAGAAGGAGCACTTTTTTTTTTATGCTACATGAATAATGTGCATCATAGCATAACATACCACCGTGAGTAGCTTATTTTCCATTTTCTAAAAAGTTTTAATTAACTTTTATCATGACATATTTGATTTGGATCATCTACACTGATGCAGTGTCTGACAATTTGTAAATATGAAATAAAGTTATTCAAAAGTATTAAGTTTGTAATGCTGTGTCTGAATTTTAAAGCTAGTCATTTCATTTACCGGTATGTAAGCTTTTTGTTTCGAATTTTTCAGTTTATTTAGGTCTAACAACTACCTAGGTTCACATAAACAATTTATGCATTAGAAATGTAAGATATCTAGGACCAAAAATCTTTAAATACTTGGAATCAAATGTATGCTAATTGTTACCTCAGAGCCATAGAGGTAAGATTTAATCTTAAAGGAATAGTACACCAAAAAACATGATTAGCCTTCATTTTCTACTCACCCCCATGCTGAACAACACTCTGGAGTACTTTTTTGATATCTCAAATGCATCTGGAGATCTGGGAGGCTTCTTGCTGTCTGCTGACATTCAAATAATGGAGGTCTATGGTGCCCGAGACAGAAAGGTCCATAAAAGTCCACAAAAAACGTGTCAATATTCCTCCATACTGCTAGTCCAATGTATTCCAAGTGTCCTGAGTGGGTAGCGTCCAGAATTTACTCGAAACGAAGTCATTTAGAATGTTTTTAGAGCATAAACAGTAGCGTATAGGATTTCCTGAAAGCGCGCACATGCGCGTTCACGACGCTACGGAAGCCGGCAGACCAAACCAGATGAAAGTGCGCATTCAGCGTCTGCTCTGCCGATAATGCAAGCGTAGAAGAGGAAATGTGCTGTTTACCTGTGCAAAGAAAGAAACAACGAAAGAAAAATGTCTGAGGACTTCAGTGTTGAGGAAGAGCATGAGTTCTTTGCCGAGCTGAATGCGCTGGTTTGGTCTGCCGGCTTCCGTAGCGTCGTGAACGCGCATGCGCGCGCTTTCAGGAAATCCTATACACTACTGTTTATGCTCTAAAAACATTCTAAATGACTTCGTTTCGAGTAAATTCTGGATGCTACCCACTCAGGACACTTGGAATACATTGGACGAGCTGTATGGAGGAATATTGACACGTTTTTTGTGGACTTTTATGGACCTTTCTGCCTCGGGCGCCATAGACCTCCATTATTTGAATGTCAGCAGACAGCAAGAAGCCTCCCAGATCTCCAGATGCATTTGAGATATCAAAAAAGTACTCCAGGGTGTTGTTCAGCATGGGGGTGAGTAGAAAATGAAGGCTAATCATGTTTTGGGTGTCCTATTCCTTTAAGACTGAGGATCTAGTCTGAGTTATAGTCTAAGTCATTTTTCCACAGCTCTGTGGTATCTTCTAAAAATGTGAGCATGGAGAACATCTGAATTGATTAAGACATGCTCCATGCTTCTCATTCGTTCAGTGTTGCCCATCTATCCGACCTGTATGGGAACCAGTGACCCGGATGTGTAAGACTCTTAAAGCTGAGCTTGCAGAATTGTCTGAAGAAATGTTGACGCGAATTGCCAATTGTGCCAGTTGCCAGTTGTTGTCAGGAATGTTGAAAACGTTGAAATATGTAGCCAATCGTGTTTCAGGCCAACGTTGAAAGACCAATATCTCTCCCAGAGCCGGTGTTTCGGGAGCACACGCAACAGCCAAAGGGGCATGGGATATATGGGCTTATAACATTATCCAGTGTTGGTCCTTAGGAAAGATCATTAAGGCAATGTGTCTACACTTAATATGAGAGCTGATAAACACAGAATGAGTTCAAGTTATTTGTAAGAGAGCAGTGTAGCCTATATCAGGGCTGCCAAGCTTCAAGCTTTGAGTGCAACAGTAACACAATTTAAACCCAGTTTCACACCACACATTACATTTCTCACATTTCTCTTCCCATTCATTACATGTAGAATCTTTCCATAATTTGAGTAACTCTGATTTAGAGATCTTTCACACAGAACATTGCCAACATTTAAAACCCACCAGACATTATCCTGCTTGCTAAAAGATAGATGGTAGGTAGTCACCCAGTTTTGTTCACCATTGATTCACTATTTCTCCTTGGGTTTCCTAGCAATTAATACAGATAACTAATATATTATTTATAGAACCCTCTAAAGGAGTGCTTTTCAAGATTCTAAATTTTAAGGTCTATCCTTAACTCAGGAAATAATATATCAAGCTATAAAAATAGTTTCAAAAATTAAGGTTTCCAAAATTCATGCTAAAAAAAATATGTTTTTTTTTTTAACACAACAGTGTGGGCTGGTTATACTCCAACAGGCTATTATTATCTAGTGCCAAGCCTGTGGTGACATGACGTATCCTTCTGTTCCAAGTGACCCATATTTATGCTGCATGCTCCATTCTCCCTGAGTCCATACTTTCCTGGTTTGTTCTCCAGCACATACTTAGCGAGGACACGAGTCCGTACTCGCATTCTTGTGAATGGAGAAACGGCCTAGTGCTCGGCACTGTTCAGCTGTGGCTCGGTTCTCTGATAACAAAGAGTGCATGAGCACACCTCGTCATCTCCTATTGACAGTCATCTGACTCATTTCACAGGTTGTCCACCATGTTCAGCTTTGTAATCAAGTGGGAATGCTTATGGATTCCCACTTATTGTTGTTCACTTTAAATTTTTCGGACTCTAACTACTCCCGCAGTTTTCAACCGATTTCAACAATTTTGGTATCAAAATGTTCAGCTTGTTCAGGAGAATTGTGCTATGTCTTTTGGTAAAGATATTTTTTGTAGTTTTCGCGATATTCTGCTTTTTCTGCGTTTTTTTGTCCCATTGAAATGCATGTAGAATTCTTAGATTTCAGCAAAATTCAGCTAAAACTTTATCATCTTCGACCTTTAACTACTTCAGCATACTTTCAGTTAGAAACACCATTCAACTTTTAAAATGTTTCTGTATCTTTCTGCTATTACTGTTTAACTCAGCTTTTTTGCTAACTTATACAGTTTTGCTTCAGTGAAGCTTCAAACTTTAAAAGAAAATTTTAAGATTTATAATGGAAGTCTATGGACGGAATTCTTCAACTGCTAGAGTGCGTGCTCTAGCTTTTGAGCTGTTCTGGTTTTTTAGAACAAATTGTTCTCACTCCCTCATTTTTCACTCAATTGAAATAAATTATACATCAAAATGTAGGGATTTTTGTCAGGATTCAGGAAATGTAACCCTCATTTGTGTGGCATCTACAGTTTTCCGACAGTTTGGCCCAGACCACGAAGAAGTCCACACTTCCCCAATAGAAATCCAATGAAAGACTTTCCAAAGATCACAAACAAAATCCAAAATGATACATATTTTCATATCACTCCCATTTCTTAACTATTTGATGTACTATCATGAATCTTGGTATAGAACATCTTCAGAACCTTCTAGCACTCACATTTAAGGAATTTCTTCAATATCATTTATGGTTTAGCTGTTTAGCTAACTTTTTCGTGCATAGGAAAACGTTGATTCTGAGAAAAATCCTCAAACTCAGAAAATGCACATTTTTACATCATCACTGTGGCCAAATAGTTTTTAGTAGACACATGAAAGTTCGTACACTCGAAGCTGAAGGATGGCTGATGTCCACGGTGAAAGAATCTTTTGAATACCTTTTACGGTTTTGGCTCACCGCTCGTTTGTTCGGAGGGGAAGTTTTGCTTTTGACAGCTCACCTCTACCATGGAACTCCATGTTATTTAATGAGACCAGCAGGATTTACAAACCTTTATATTTCTCCTTCCCATTAAGGCTGTGAATGAGCTACAGCCATGAAAGTTATCCCAATCGGAGACAAAGGATAGCTGTCGCTTAGACTGAAATAATTTTTTAGATACCATTTACGGTTTGTCTTCAGCACTCGTTTGTTCGGAGATGACATTCCCATTCAAAAAAGCCTGAGAGGAAAGGAATGAAAGTGAAGCGCATGTCTCTCTGTCACTGACAGGCTCGTTAAGCATCGTCAAGGTAACCGAGCTTCAAAGGGATTTTACCTCTGCCCCTTTAAACAGCACATTTTAATCTAATGGAGGGAGACAACACTGATTTAACATTTGGAAATGGATACAATATGACTACTGGCCATGACCCTTCCTTTCACACGCAACCCTGATAGACTTTCAAAATAAGACTCCGGGGACCCTACAAAATAAAAGCCCTTACATTAAACTCATTTTTTTCCCCCAAGCATATGGCTCAACATTATGACCCAAACTCAACGACTTTTTAAAAATTATACTCTAGGGGGTTTCAAAACACACCCCCCAGCAAATTTCAAAATAAAAGCCTCCAATTGCCACTTCATCTACTGCCCTAATAACAGGGGAAAAGAGTGATTTAAGGATTGAAAAGTCATCAAGTATCATTGCTGGGTCTGACCCTTTTCTCAACACACAACCCTGCTAGACTTTCAAAATAAGACTCCAGGGACCCAACACAGTAAAAGCCTCTATGTTATACTCATGTATTAATTGATGCAAATGGCTCAGCATTATAACCCAAGCTCTACCAGCTTGATTGTATTAGACTCTAGGGACCTTTTCAAAACATACCCCAGAGCAAATTTCACAATAAAAGTCTCCCATTTACGCTCTAATACAGCATCTATTCACCCAATAACATGGAAAACCAGTGATTTCATATTTAGAAATGGATTCCATATCATTGCTGGGCATGACCCCTGTGTTAACACACATTCATGATAGACTTTTGAAATAAGACTAAAGGAACCCTACAAAATAAAAGCCTCTTCCTTACACACACTCATTCATTGTGCCGTATGGCTCGTAGCTATGACCCAAAGTCATCCAATTTCTTCAAATTACACTACCAAGGCCTGTTGACCACAC